ATGACGCCTACTCATGAAAGCTAGGCAAGCCGCGTATTGTATAATTACTAACTCATTTATTAGCCCCTTTTAACAATTTAAACTAACATGTGATCAACAGTAAAACATTAACAATAAATAAAACAAGCGGAAGACTTAATCTGATAAAATAACCAAAGCCTACATGACGATGCCAACATATGTCTTTACCCGAAATCCGGTATCACAATATCACGAACTGTCTATGAATACTACATACAAGTGTCCGAAAGGAGAAGTACAACCTATCTCGGAAGTAAATGAAAACAGAATACATAAAAAGATAGAAGAGAACGTCGGGCATGCGGATGCCTGTAGGACTACCTCGGGATCTCTAGCTGGACTGAAGGCAACCACCCAAAGCTACGGTCCAAAAGCTGCTCCAGGATCTGCACATAGTACAGAGTGTATCATCAGCACAACCGACCCCATGTGCTGGTAAGTGCCTAGCCTAACCTCGGCGAAGTAGTGACGAGGCTAGGACCTACCAAATAAACATGTGCAATTATATAATATATAACGGAAAATAAAACAGAAATACACAAGTAAAGATGGGAGGGGGTACATGCTGCGGGGGAATATCAATACCAACAGTAAATTAAGAGAAAAGCATAAGGAACAATTTAGAATCTACAACAAATCAATGAAGAACTCGCAGCCAATCTATAAACAATTCGTATTTTCTATTATTGCGGCGTGCAACCCGATCCAAAACATAATAACACTATTGCGGCGTGCAACCCGATCCGTATCATTTATCACTGTTGCGGAGTGCAACCCGATCCGTATCATTTATCACTGTTGCGGCGTGCAACCCGATCCATATCATTTATCACTGTTGCGGCGTGCAACCCGATCCATATCATTTATCACTGTTGCGGCGTGCAACCCGAACCATATCATTTATCACTGTTGCGGCGTGCAACCCGATCCATATTCATTATCACTATTGCGTCGTGCAACCCGATCCACGTATACAATTCAATACCAATTCACAAATAGAGTCCCGACAAAGGATCAATAAAGAAACAACGCTATCCCGGCAAGAAAATCGACAGTATAAGTAAATATATCCCGGCAGGGGAGAAACAGCTATAACCAAACTTGTTCCAACATCTAACTACCTCAACTAACACCAATACTCAATCATAAGTAATTTCCACGAGAATAATCATAATCCTTGCGTAATACAAAGAATCATCAAATTAAGCATCCGTAGTATTATTTAAGAACACAATAAATTTCAATTTAAGACTCACGGTCATGCTCGACACCAATGTATAGATACTCATCACCATGTCTATACGTCGTACTCAACAAGAAACAAGTAGCAAATAGAACACAACTCCTAATCCCTCAAACTAAGGTTAGACCAAACACTTACCTCGAACTTCCACGGCCAACTCAAGCCTCAAACACTGCTTTTCCTTTTGAATTTGGCTCCAAATCAATTGTATCTATACATAATTGACTTAATAACATCAATAAACGCTAAACAATCCAATTCCAATTTAATTATGGCTTTCCTATCATTCTTCCCAAAAAGTGAAAAATTGACCCCAGGCCCGCTTGGTCAAAATACAAGGTTCGGACCAAAACCCGTCACCCATTCACCCACGAGCCCGAAAACATAATTAGTTCCAAAATTCAACCCCAAAACGTGGTCTAAATCCCAATTATACAAAAAACCCTAACTCTACCCAAATCTCTAATTTTCTACCATTAAAAACATGATTTAGGCCTAGAAATCTAATGGGTGTAAATGAAAATTGAAGAAAATGAGTCTAAGATTACATACCTATGAAATTGGTGGTGAAATCCCTTTTCAAAATTGCCCAATTTGAAGTTTGGAAGAAGAAGTTATGAAATTTTGTTTAAGTCATGTTTTGCTTCTGTTTTAAAATCACTAGACAGGCTTTCATCACGTTCGCGATAGGCCTGTCGCGTTCGCGATGAATTAGGCCTAGGTGACCTTCGCGTTCGCGACCTTGGGGTCGCGTTCGCGGAGCTTTGACCCCTCGAGCCTTCGTATTCGCGGGCCAGTGGCCGCGTTCGCGTAAAACAAGTGAGAACCCCCCTCCCCCAGGCCAATTGCCTTACGCGTTCGCGAGTGCCTGGACGCGTTCGCGAAGGGTACTCCCCCCTTAGCCTCGCGTTCGCGTCGCAGGCTTCGCGTTCACGAAGAAGAAAACTGGCACGTGAGAAATTTGCCTTACGCGTTCGCGAGTGGGACTACGCGAACGCGAAGAACAAAATCCATGTGCACCGAACAACAAAAACCTGCAACTTTCATAAGTTCAAAACCCATCCGAAACTCACCCGAGCCCTCGGGGCTCCAAACCAAGCATACGTACTAACTCAAAAATATCATATGAACTTATCCGTGGGATCAAATCGCCAAAATAACCTTTAAACAACAAATTTAGCATAGAAATCTAAGAAAAATCTCAAAACTTTCAAAGTAGGAATTTTCACAACTACGGGTCTGAATCCCCTCAAACGACTTCCGTTTCTTACCAAATTTCACTGACTCATCTTATTTCACATATAAGACCTGTATCGGGCTCCGAAACCAGAATACGGGCCCGATACTATCAAATTCTAAATGCATTTCATTTCTAAAACTCATAGAAATTTCTAGAAAACAATTTTCTCTAAAAATTCATTTCTCGGGCTTGGGACCTCAGAATTTGATTCCGCGCATACGCCCAAGTCCCATATTTTTCTACGGACCCTCCGAGACCGTCAAATCACAAGTCCGGGTCTATTTACCCAAAATATTGACCGAAGTCAACTTAAATGCATTTTAAGTCAAAATTACAATATTTTTCACAGATTTTCACATAATAGCTTCCGACTATGCGTCCGGACTACGCACGCAAATCGAGGTGATGCTGAAAGAGGTTTTTAAGGCCTCGAAATGCAAAATTCATTTTAAAAACAAGTAATGACCCAAATTCATCACACTTCAAGAGCCTTCATTCATTATCCACAATCTAATATTTATCGGACACTACTAATGTCATATATTTCTAGACAAACAGTTAGCTCTTCAGGAGTTGTTGATATATTTTGTACTACCAAATATTTCTCAGAAACTTCTGGTATCATGAGAGAAAATCATAATCAAATGAATACTATAAAAACAATTCTAAATTTGTAAATGTAAGAAATTAAGAGTTTCAGTATTTTTACCACCAACTTTGTGACAAATATCTCATTTAGGGATAGACGCCATTAACATCTGAAAATTTTATATCAAATCGGCAACCACATAGTCATTATATACTTCGGGGAAAGATACATGAGTTGTTATTTCCTTCGGGGAACTCGATAACTAATCATAACATATTAATATGGTTGTAGTAGAAAATATTCTACAAGAATGTTTTTGCCTTAGAATGATACTTAATAAATTACCCAAGATGTTTTACTTACAACAGGTACGTGCAGCAATGATCTTTATGCCACAAAAATGATATTTATATCCTTTGTTATTCTACCTCTTCACGAAGTGAGTTGTGGTATTTCTTTATTTACTCCATGGAATAAAAATGTGCTTCAAAAATAACTTTGAATAGTTCATTATTTATTTAAGCACAAAAAGACATAGTTTCATAATATTTTTCTGCTTCAGGAGTAAATTTCAATTGTTTTACTACTTCAACAACAAATTAAAATACGAAATATTGAGTATATATTCTCTTAATCATATTACCTATTCTGGAGGTGAATTGTAATATATTTACATCAAGAGCGCGTTCATATTTATGAGCTTTACTAATATTGTCACATTCACTCTAGGGAATGAATTAATATTTATCAAAAGTTCTCATCCTTCAGGGAACAGAACATAATTATTTGAACGTGCATTAATCACACCACATCGTGTGATGCTTCAACCTCTTTTAAGATAATGCTACTTCATGAGCAAATCGAGGCATGCAAGTTATATAGAGAAATTTTCTCTAGCTTATCTGAAATTGTAACCATAGAAAGCCGAAATTGTCACTTCTGGTGGTCATAGGCATATACCACTTCTGGTTGTTAACAAAAAATTAGTTACAATGAGATATACGAAACATAACCACTTCTGGTGGTTGTATATTTCTTGCAAACTCTGTTGGAGTATAAGTGGATCTAACAATGTTATCCACTTTGTAATCCTTTATCAAAATAATTAGGAAGAAAACAAATACCAAAATAGGTATTGCATACGTAACATATAACCAAGCAATATTAAAATATAAGCAAAATGCTCGATTTAATTTACGCAAATTTGGCCACTCCAGATGTAAGTAATATTTACATCACTACTGCCAAGAAGAAAAACTCATCACCTCAAGGGTATAATCTACCTTATGATGCTCGGAATGAACAAGATCTAACCACGGACGTAAGAGTGTCGCTTTACATCGGAGATGGACACTGAAATAGAAATTAAATTCAAAGTAAGTGCTCAAAATGGCAGAGTCTCGTGCTGATAACGTGTTATAAAATAAAGACTACTAAGTAAATAAATCGAAGGCAAGTATAAGGAGAGATTGATATATTATTCAACTTCAAGCTGATGTACATAATGAACTAAAAATTCCTCTATTTATAGAAGAAATGAAGCAGTTGCGAGTTTTTTCCGGAAGCAGCTGCAAGGCTTTTCTTGAGCTGCTTGTAAGCTGTCTGCATGAGCCACTTGTAACATGCTTGTTTAATAAGAAGCTGCTGCAAATCATTTCATTAAGTTGCTTGCAATTTGCCTTCATCAGCTGCTTGTAGATAAACGTCAATGGAGTATTAAATGTATCTATAACGGAGTATTAAATGAACATCCACAATATAATTATTTTCATAACACAAATTATATTTTATTATTTTAGAGCTTATATTTTTTTGTTGATTTTTGTATTATAACACAAAAATATCTTGAATAAATTTTATATTATTTTTAAAATTTTGTTTTTATTCATACGAGGGTACATCCCTTTTGAAAAGAGCAGCAAGAAACCTAAACATCTTTCAGCTCTGAACCTTGCCGCTACCTACCTAGAGACAGAGACGAAGAAGATGGGGAAAGTATCATACATGAAGCTGAAAGGAAGCCAGAACTTGAGACTCCGTCTTTTACTAGCGACCCTTTCATCCAAATCGATTGTTATTGAGGATATTCGTTCTGAGGCTACTTGGCCTGGCCTTCGTCCTCACGAGGTCTCTTTCCTCCGCCTCCTTGAAAAAATCTGCGATGATTGTGTCGTTGAAATCAATGAAACTGGTAAAAATTATTCAGCCCCCCACCATACCATTTTTTGCGTATATCGTGTTCTAAAATTGATTCTTTGAACCTGTTGTGCTATTTTTGGGCAGGAACAAAACTAAAGTATAAACCAGGAATTATAATGGGAGGAAGGCATTTAGTTCATGATTGTGGTGTAAGTCGCTCCATCGGCTACTTTTTGGAACCGTTGATTGTGCTTGGTATGTTTGGGAAGAAACCACTCACCATTAGGCTCAAAGGTATGCCCTTTACCCTCTTTTATCCGCCAGGCAGTAACTTACTAATTTATATCCGGGAAATCATCACAATTTAGTCTAATTTGCAAAACAGTAGCAAGCAGAGTGTAACGCGTTCGTCTTGATTGAAAAGGGAAAGTCCAACTGTTCTTTGAGATGTACATGAGGTGTATTTGGTAAAACAATATTATGTTCTCCTTATACAAAAGAAAATATCTAGATTATGTTCTATGTGGAGTTCCTTGAGTTCGCTGGATATTGAAAATAACTCATTTCACAGGGTAACTAACAGCATTATCTTCTGTTTTATGTATCTTTTGCTCAGGAATGGATGTAATGATGACCCATTTAAAAGTGAATACATGTTGTGATATCAATTCAATTCCCATGATTTAAAATTCATGAAGCGTCAACAGCAGAAAAAAAGAATGTTCAGATGGCCATATTTTTTTTTTTAATTTTGTTTACTCTTGTAAAGGATAGTGCATTAAAACTCGGGATAAGTATATGGAAGGAGATTAAGTACTAAGAGGACGCTTGAATTGAGGTATCATTTTATAGCTAAGATTTGTCCAAACTAACACTTAACTGGATTAATCAGTCTGGAATGTCGACTATGACATCTTATCTCTTTGTGTCAGTTTCATACCATAATTGCTACAATTTCTATCACATGTTTTCACAATTTTGCAACTAGGATGAGTTAAAGGGCAGTTTTGTGCTCCAAATTTTACCTTTGGCACTCCAATCCTCAGTGGCGTACGCATGAATTTTTGTAAGCGGTGTCACCTTAGACGTGAAAAAATAAATATAATATCATATTTTAAAAAACAACCAACAAAAAAAATTTCAAAGGAAGCAACAACGTCCCTCCAATTTAAAAATTGTATTGTGTTGGCCTCTTTAGTTATGACTTAGGATCCACTAATTCAGTGCTTTGATAACGTCTAACAGGTTAGCGGTTCAAATCATTGATTTCCTTGTAACTGAATGTGATAGTAAATGCCGCAATTATTTTAAGAATTTGGTTATTATCTCAAAGTTTGAAACAACATTTTCAGGGATAACAAATGATTCGAAGGACCCATCTATTGATACTTTTCGATCAACTACTTTGCCTATACTGAAGCAGTTCGGAGTCCCTGCAGAAGGATTGGACCTGAAAATTGAGAGTCGGGGAGTTGCTCCTAAAGGTGGTGGAGAAGTACTTCTTTCAGTTCCTATGGTTCCGAATAGTTTGAAAGTGAGTTTTTTCTCCTTCACTTCGTTGTTTTGTATTCTGCGGGCAGCCAAATGACAGTCAGTCAGAAAACTATAAATGATTCTTTTGACCAATTTTTTTGGCGACCGCTATTATACAGGCTATTAAATGGGTTGATGAAGGTCTGGTGAAGAGAATTAGAGGTGTTTCCTTTTCAACTAGGGTATCTGTTCAGTTTGAGAATACCATTATACATGCTGCTCGAGGAATCTTGAATCCTTTTCTTTCAGATGTTCACATCTTTACAGATCATAAAGCTGGAGCACAAGCTGGAATGTATGATCATTTTGTGGATATCTCGCACTTGCTGTCTTTTTATGTAGTAACCATCCAGAACATGTTTAATTTGGGCTCTGCTGACTATATCTGAATTGATTGCAGGTCACCTGGCTATGGAATTTCTCTAGTTGCAGAGACTACCTCTGGTTGTGTTATATCTGCTGATACTACAGTTTCTTATGCAAGAGGAGAAGATGATGCAGACTTAGAGGATGATAGGAAAGATTTGATCCCTGCTGAGGAAGTTGGCGAGCAAATTGCTTCTGCACTACTTACGGAAATTAAACAGGGGGGAGTAGTAGATTCAACACATCAGGTGTGTATAACTTACTGACAACATTAATCTCTTTGTGAGTTCTAGCTGATCATACTTCCCTCAAGCTCCTCGTCTTACCAATCTCTTGGTTGTGTGTATATTAACAGGGACTGCTGTTTCTTCTATGTGCTTTGTGTCCAAAAGATGTTTCAGAAGTTCGGGTTGGGAAGCTGTCACCCTATGGAATAGAAGCACTAAGGCACATAAGAGACTTTTTGGATGTTAAGTTTGTCATGAAACCTGATGCCTCGACGGGAACTGTCACTATGATGTGTCTTGGCTCTGGATTTCAGAATTTATCCAGAAAAGTATCATGATAAAGATATAGCATAATGTGGTGGATTAGAGTGACAGTTTGGATCGAATGGCTTCAATTCATCAATGGGTGGTTTTGACTTTAGAGTGAGAATTCAAGCACGATGTGTCACAGGCTCCAATTTTGATGTGGTCGCTAGTTGTAATGAGTGTGTGCTGTGAAAAGCAAGCATGAAATTTTGCAATGTAACCTTTATTAAATATTAACATTAATATTAATCCTTCGGTCTCATATCATGTGTCATGTTTCTCTTTTACATTCCCTTAAGAAAGAGATCGGACTATTCTACCCTTATTTATGTCTTAAGATATAATTTCTCTTCATTGAATCATCATCAACCCAGTAATCATCATTGAATATATTATTTTATTTACTCCATCTTCAAGAACAATTATTACTAAGTCTAAAAAAGGAAAAAATAATTAATTTTGTCTTTAACTTTTAAAATAACAAATAATTTGAGACAACTATTTTTAATAATCACGATTGTTAATATGAGACGGGGGAGTACTAATATTACATGAAATATTAAAAGGTCCTAGCATTTTACTTGTTTTCCTTTTAAATTGTCTATATTTGGTGGACTGTTATAAATCCTGTAAATGGATCCATCCACTTGCAACGATGGATGTCTTCCATAATATGTTTTGGATTGGTTATGTATCCATAACATGTTTTGGATTGGTTATGTATTAATAACAAGTTTTCGATTGGTTTTGTAACAATGAAATATTTCTATAAATATGAACCTATTTTCCACACTCTAAAACAAAGAAATAAATTCTCTCTTCTAATGTTATCATTCTCTTATATTATTAGTCCTAGTTAATTACGTAGTTCTTGCTATATTGCTTTTATTTTATAATACGTGATCAACACGAATCTCTAGCCAAATGATTCAATCAGCTCATCTAATCTTTTTCCTAAAGGAGCTAGTCTTCTTTCCGATTCAGGTATACATCAATTTGTTTATACAGTTTTATTAACTTTCTCATGTTTCTGACCTACAACTCAATGTTATAAGTAACTACATGCATGACCTGGAGTGAATATTATTATAATACTTATTTTTCCATGAAACTGAAAGAAAAGCAAATTTATGGTACATGTGCGTTTTCTATAGTCTCAAGCACAAAAGAGAAGTATGAGTATTTCAAATATATACGTGATGGTGTGTTGCAAAATTCTTGAAAATTTAATAAATTATTACGATTGATGTTAAGCAAGCAAAAAAATGAGATGTCAAATTCATGTATTGTAAAAATATACTACAGTTTACTGGCACATATATTACATGCATATATAATAATGATAACATCCTACGGTGATCAATTCCAAGGGTACTGTTTACTGATTCTTCAATTTTGCACAACGAGTATGTCATCGAAATTGGTACTACTCCTAAAGATATACTACTTCTTTAATCTCACAAGCAGTAGCCATATTGTTAAAGAGATTTTAAAAGATATGGTTAATGTTGTATTCTGGGCCGGGCCCGTGCCTAAATGGGCCAAACGGGCCGGGCTTAGCGGGCCTGGGCTCTGGCGGTCCCGGGCTTCGTGGGCTCAACGGGTAGAACCAGCCCGTGACGGGCCTAAGCCCATATGGTCCTGGACTAAACGGGCTGGGCTCGTGGGCTTAGCGGGCCTAACGGGCTTTTTTATTTCCGGGCTTTTTTTTTTTTTAATTTTTTTTGTTTAAGGTAATTTCTTGTAAACCATATCATGGCTATATAAAAAATATATATGTAGAAATCTAATTATTAAAGTGCTTGACGAAAAAGTAAAATAACAAAACAATAGTAAAACTAAATTGCCATGCATAATAAATTAATAAGAAAGTACAACATGAAGCATAAATACGTCTAATAATTTTAAAATAACACAAATTGTTGAAAAATCTTAAAGACGAATTTGCGGATAAATACCATCAACACAATACGTTATATGCCTCCTTAAAATGCCTGTGGTACACCCTGAACGAAAATTTAAGACTCTTCCACAGTTCTTGCACTTTAATATTTGGCCTTCTTCATTTTCTTCAAGCACTTCATAGTAATGCGAAACAAATAAGCGCACTCTTTCCGAACGAGGCATGATGTAACTTGAAAATTAAGATTGAGACTTGAAGTCTTGAAAATTGGAGATTGAGAGATTGAGAGAAATTTAGATTGAGAAATGAGTATTGAGTATTGGAATGAAGAAGAGGGAGGGGGGTATTTATAGTGTTAGAGAAGGTTAGTTTTGTAAATTGAAAAAAATGGCTATTTGTGCAATATGGATTGGGGGTGGGGCCCTCATTTTGAATTTTGAAAAATCTTGTTTTGTAGTATATATAGTATACTAGTATAGTATATATATACTAGTATACTATATATATAGTATGTTATGTTATGTATATATATTACCTTATATATTTTCTTGTAGTATATATTGTATGTTATGTATATATATTCCCTTATATATTTTCTTGTAGTATATATTGTATGTTATGTATATATATTATAGCTTATAAACAATTGCAAGTTAAAGACAAAAAAATATTGCAAAAAGATATTTAAGGGCATGTCTTATAATTTTTATTACCAAAAATGGCATATCTTTCTTAGTTTTCCTCCCCCCCAAATGGAATGAGCACAAACTAATGTTGTTTCTAGGCGTTTAGGAGGTTGTCTATTAAAACTAGGGGTTTCTACAGGTGGGTCGGGCGGTACATCAGTTGGGTTATTAAAAGGACTAGTAGGTGTATCATCTAAATCCGGTTGGGTTTCATCTTCATCATCATTTTCAAAGATAGTTTGATTAGGATAAAGAGCATTCATAGTTTCATCATCTAAATTTTCACCTGGTGCAACATTATGGCAAAATTGACTATCGGAAAATTGAAAACAGGGGTTATCACTATCAAGAATAATAGGAGCAGCAGGACGTCTACCAGGTCTGGGTCGGGGAGCCGGGGGAAGGGTAGTAGGTTGGCCACTACTTTCACCAGTTTTAGCTTTTCCCTTACCACCAAACATTTTTATCAAAGATGTCATATTAATTACAATTATGCAAACTAAAACACACAAAAATATATTCTTAAAACTTAAAAGTTAAAACGAGTTTACCGTATTGCCGAACAACTTCTTGAAAATTGAAAATCGTTGAAGACTTGAATACTTCAATTCACCAACTTCACAATTTTTCACGAAATTTCAACAATAAAATAAGCAATTATAGTAGAGAGATTGAGAGAGATTGATGAATTGGTGAGTAAAAATGAAAGAATGAGGGGGTATTTATAATTGAGAATTGGGAAAAGTGTAATTATATAAAGTTTGAGGTTAAAATAAAGTTTGGGGGCCAAATGGCTATTTTTGAAAGTTCCAAACGGTCAAAATTGCAGCCCAACGGCTACTTTTAAAATTTTTGACCGTTGTTATTTTTTTTTTTAAAAAAAAAATTAAAAATAGCCGTTATAGGCCCATTAGGCCCGGTAAGACCGGCCCAGGCCCGCCAGCCGGTCCCGGGCTCGTGGGCTATTTAATGTGACCCGGCCCGCCACAGGCTTTTTGCACCATTAAGGACCGGCACACCAGGCCAGACCCGTTTAGCCTGTTAGGACCGCGGGCCCGGTCTAGTCCCGGTCCCAGCCCGACCCACCATACAACATTAGATATGGTACTTCCTAATCAAAAGATACATGCATTTAGTTTTCTTTAAGCACTATTATACAGAATCAACCAAAATTTACCAACATCATGTTTGTGTACACTGCTTTATAAACTTTAGTTATACATCTCTATAAAATAGTTATACATTATAAGTCTTATCATGACGAAAAATTATTTATGTGTATGTCTATGATAAGTGGTACTTAACAATTTTAAAGGCTCAAGAGCGAGTCCCAACGTATTATGGCCTGATATGCCTTTATATGGATAAGACTTTGATTTGAGTCCCAATACACCATATTGATGATGATTCTGAAAGAAGACAATATATTTATGATGGCCATATGAATTGGCACGGTCGTGGCAAGAAACGAAATAATAATCGTCATCATGGTAGTAATTATAAAAGGGAGAACAATAAGGGTTCTCAATATATCCTTCAAAAGGTGAAGGCAATGTTTACCATCAAATTGGTATGGAAAAATAATAAAGTACGTCGCAATGATTATACTCCATTCTTTGAAGAGAACATGACTTGTGATAAACATTTAGAATACATACTCATTCCTAAAGGTGAATGTAGCAATATGTGTGTAATGAATAAAAACGTATTGGATACATACCACAACTCACCTTTAAGGGAGGTTTAAGAGGAAGAAAGATAATGAATATTACTGTGGTTACATGAATATGTCTCGCGTACATGTGGTATGTCAAAAATATTTTGACATGCCTTATAAAAGGTTATTAAAGACCAAATTCAAGTAAGAAATAATTTTTCTTATGATGACTTTGACCATGACAATTTATTATACTATAACTTTCTTTGTGAAAGAGACATTCACCATATGAATGGTGTGACAAAAGATCTTGTAGTATAAAATTAATTAAGAGCTCCGGAAGAATTAATTTATTATTACCCGGATGAATAAAATTGTTCATGACATTTATATTGTAGTAAGTCTCAAAAGAAACTTTTTGAGTTTCAAATGTACAAGCCAAAGTGGTTGGCATATTGCGACTATAAATGAAAGGAAGGTTGAATATATTCTTATTACTATAATCATACCGGGTAAATATAAAAGGTTACCCGACTTTCCTTCTATTTATACTACACAAGTATAAGTATGATGATGCAATCACATGCCACATGTAAACTAGAGGTTTACTGAAACAAATATTAGTTGGCATGACTGGTAGGCCATCCCGGTTCAATTATGATGCGCAAATGATTGAGAATTCATTGGCATATATTGAAGAAATAGAATATTATTCAAGAATTCTCTTATGCTGCTTATTCTCATGATATACCAGCTAAAGTAGAGACTGAATCTCTTGATTTCTAGAACGAATAAAAGGTGATATATATATATATATATGGACCTAGTCACATGCCATGCGGATCATTTACTATTATATGATTTTATTAGATGCATCTATTGTATAGTCACATGTGCGTTTGTTATCAACTTGCAATTTGATTTTTGTAAGGTTACTTGCTCAAATTATTAGAGCACAGTTCCAGAACGTAAATTATGATGATTTATCTTGATAATGCTGGTTTAAATCCAAGTTG